TCAGAAGTCCGAAGTCGGAAATCAGAAATCAGTTATTAAATTTAATAAAAATAAAATATTTATTATTTGTAGTTAGTGTTAGATTACACCTTTCATTATGCAAACAAGACCGAAAAGAAATGGTATTGACATAAAGAAAGCATAATTATATATTTTAGTACATACTTGTATGTATACTTATATGTATACTTGATCACAAGAAAAAGAAGGAAACTAAAGTAACGTTTACTATTTAAATAGTAAAATACTTTTTTAAGGAACCATAGTGATCTCGGAAATCGGAAATCAGAAATCGGAAATCAGAAATCGGAAATCAGAAGTCCGAAATCAGAAGTCCGAAATCGGAAGTCGGAAGTCGGAAATCAGAAGGCCCTTCTCGGCCATCGTACTGGAGAGCTGTTTTAAATTAGCCAAATTGTTTGTCTTCCCAAGTACCCTTTCGGTCTTAGCTTCTATGATTTGACCTTTTTGGGCCCGACAAAGTTTCTTCAATCAATTATTTCAATGATTGTTGTCCCTCCAAGATAAAAGAAATTTAAACCCAGAATGCATCATGGGATATGCTTGAGTTTACATGAATTTTATTCGTGCTGACAGTTTCTTATAATTATTTCATCAGGTGATGAAACAAAAAAGCGAAAGTCAAAGTGGGACATTAGTGCTGCTCCCACTGTACTACCCGATGTCTCGAAGAAAATAAAACAATAGTTATGTATTATTTAGGGACCAGGTTACACGCCAAACTTCACATCTACCGCATCGACGCCATTTTGTGCAGCAAAGCATGATGGTAGTTGAAATCTTTGTACTTGTTATACACGACTTTAACAATGGCCGACACTAATCAGCATATTATTGTTAAATTCATTATGTTGACAAAAGAAAACACTTAGATAGATAAGCTCTGAAAGTTTCACTCTGGAAGTTATAAGGGTTGGAAGATGCACAAAAAAAAAACAAAAAAAAAAAAACGAGGCCGCCAAGGCCCCAGTAAAGAATTTCATACAAATCCTTGTATTTTCGTTCCTCCATAACGTCGTTAGTATTTGGTCTATATCTTCAATTTCTTGCACAATTACTTATTTCTGATAGTTCTTCAATATGGCAGTTGCTGATTGTTTCCTTAATATCTCCATTGGCATATAAAAATCGATAGTAGGCACTGACCAATATTTCCCTGAGAGCCGTTTTTTACATTTTCTTTGTAGAAGCGGTACAATACTATTTTTAACCAGAAAAAGCAAAAACAACTTAGAAGGACTGTTGTAGTGGACATAAAAAAGAGCGAGGACTACATCTAACTATCATCATGCTTTTCTGTACAAAATGGCGTCGGGGCGTATTGCCTGTTAAATGCATATGGATGCGATGTGTAAATCAATTAAATTCGATTAAATACGACTTCAATCGAAACTGCGGCAGTTTAACATACTTCAGTGGTGCAAAAGTTGTTTTATACGTCACATTTCACATGCAAATTCAAATTTTTAAATTTGAAAACTGCAATGCAATGTATCACTTCTATGAAAAATTCGTCTGTGTTATCTACCATCGTTGTAAAGCATAGTGACCGAGAGGGAATTTGTTTCCGACTCTTAAAATTCGACGTCTAAATCAAATTCTTATTCGACTGCATAGGGATTATATTGGGCACATGTGAAGTTCGTCTTATAACCTAGGCATAACTCTAACTAGACATCAACTTTGTGTATTCCCAAATGACGGCGAGCGAAATTTGCCTGTACAGATAATCTTGGATAATTTTTGTCCATAAAAATCTACTCTAAGTAAAAAGTGGAAAATGTTTTCACAAATTTTTCGCTATCCGTGGGAGTTCCCTTAAAGGGACACTGTCTATGGCACGCATGCGCGAGTAAACTTGAAAACATTAGGCTAGTGTTTATGTTTTCAAGTTTATGACTCCAAGTTGGCGCGACATAAATCAGCTCGTAAACGTAAACAGATCTAGAATATTCCAAAGTGTGTCAAAAGCACCACAAAATGATTTTCCTYGAAGGTWATACTTTCAAAGTCCGTTAGAGGTGAGACTGTTACTGCGCATGTCATCCATTGACAGTGTCCCTTTAAATAAGACTTGAAAAAAACTTGTCAAACCAAAATAATGTACATACAGTATAAGAAAATGAAATAAAGTTCTTGCAATGAAATCTTGTCGGATTTGATAAATAAAGCATTCTCGCCATATTTTCTTTGATATGCAGTCATTATGCCTTTGTGCATGAGTCCTGCTCAAAGAGATAAAATTGATTATTGCGAGGCTAGTATTTGTTACCCTGGTTCCAGAGGCTTGTCTTTTATTCTTTAGCTTACTATGTTATAAAAGACAAGCCTCTGGAACCAGGGTAAGTATCTGTGCATATAATTTTTGAGCATGTATTTAAAAATACATATATTCAATATAAAATGTATTTAAATAGCATGTATTTAAAAATACATGCTCAATATTCTTTGTTGTGTAGATAAAAACTGGACTTTCTAAAAGTTTGCGAATTGATTCCTTGAAATAATGCAAGACGAATAAAGGAATTTTTTGGCAAAACCATATACCAAAAGTCCTAATGATGAACTTGCCAAACTGAGTCTTGTTTATTTCTGGGACTTTTGCTGTGCAAGAATTTTTCAGATTTGCCCCTCCCCTCCCCTCAATACTGCAACGTGGCAATACTTGACGTGACCCAGGGTTCAGGGACCATATGACACAATACATAAACCTTGGTAATCTTGGAACGTAATAAGTGAACTTAGGGTAAATTGCTTAACTATATTAACGATATTAGTGACGTAGATTACATCGCGCAGAGCGGGCGGTACGTACAAGTACGTAATAAGCGGCCGTTAAATAACGTGGCGTACTGAAATTAAC